TTTGTTGTCGTCGTCCCACCCGCGACCCGCCCCGCGACCCACCCGTGACCCACCCCGCGACCCACCCGCGACCCACCCCGCGACCCACCCGCGACCCACCCGCGACCCAACCGCGACACACCCGCGACCCACCCGCGACCCACCCGCGACCCACCCCGAGACCCCCCCGGCGACCCACCCGCGACCCATCGGCGACCCACCCGCGACCCACCCGCGATCCACCCCGCGACCCTCCCGCGACCCACCCGCGACCCACCCCGCGACCCACCCAAAATTTTCGTCGCCTGCGGCGGGCTTCTTTTGCATTCGTTCCAGGTGGAGAACCTGCGACCCACCCGCGACCCAAACCGCGCCCGCGACCCACCCGCGACCCACCGCGACCCACCCGCGACCCACCCACGACCCACCCAGCGACCCACCCAAATTTTTCTGCGCCTGCGGCGGGTTTCTTTTGAATTCGTTCCAGGTGGAGAACCTGCGACCCACCCGGACCCAAACCGCGTTCATAGTACAAATCAAAATTTTCGGCGCCCGCGGCGTTTTTTTTTTTTTTTTTTTTTTTTGTTTTTGTTTTGTTGGGGGGAATTCTTTCCAAGTGGAGGTGAGAGCCCGCCACCCACCCGCGACCCAAACTACGTTCACTGAGCGAGTCAAAACTTCGGCGCCTGCGGCGGGTTTCTTTTTGCATTCGTTCCAGGTGGAGAACCTCCGACCCAAAGTGCGTTCATTGTACAAATCAAAATTTTCGGCGCATGCGGCGGTCTGTTTTTGAATTGATGCCAGGTGGGGGTGGAGAGCCCGTGACCCAACCGCGACCCAAACTACGTTCACTGAACAAGCCAAAAATTTGGCGCCTGCGGCGGGCTGTTTTTGCATTCGTTTCGGGTGGTTCACCAGCGACCCCCCCCGCGCTGAATTTGTCAGAGCACGGCGACGACGATGAGGACGAGGACGCGGACGAGGACGAGGAGGAGGAGGAGCAGGAGGAGGAGGAGGAGGAGCACGAGGAGGAGGAGGAGGAGGAG